CAGCTCGGGTATAGGGGGGCTTCGGGGCGGGATGAAGGGTCCGTCCCTCCCTCCCTCAGAAAACCGAGTTTAACCTCACCGCCTGTCCTTCAGGTTTCCCCCAAGCGCTTCCCGGTGGCGGAGGTGGATGATATCCTGAAAGATGTGCTGGGCAGCTACTTGAGGGAGCAGGCCTACGAGCCGGCCTGGTGCAGGGACATGGTGAAGGACATCGCTGAGGTACCGCGGTGCTCGAAGTGTGAGGTGGCCGTTTTGTCTTCAGGCCTCAACGGGGTGTCAGGGAGGAGGCTGTGGGGGCGTGGAGGCCCCCAAATATAGTGTAAAACAAATACTGGGGTGAGGGGGCTGTCAAGATGCATCAAGAGTTGCTCCGCGATGGGTGTAGCCTTGTATGAGTTAATGATGAAGTTTGTTTGAATAGCGGTGGCTCTGGCCACAGGGTTCAGTAAAAACTCCATGCTGTGGTTGCCCTGTTCAGAAGTGCCATTAATAAGTTTTAAGTATGTATCAGACAATTCTGAAATAGGCCAGTTATGGTAGTAGCCGAACTCTGCACAGTGACATGTGTGCAAGTTCCTTGTCTGTTGAATCCAGCCTAGCTGCTAAGAAAAGACTGTCCTGACCCTTCAGTCTTTCAGATGATTTGGCCCAGAAGAGCTCACTGGCACTAAAAAAGTAGTAGTCTGCTCTTCCTTTCCTCCCAGTAACCAGCAAGTAACTGCATATGGAGGAGAATGTGGCATTTACCTAGAGTAACTCCTAACTTGAAGTCTGTACTTGCATTTCTCTAGTACAGGAAGGTGTGCCTGGCTTTAGCAGATGGAAGCGTTGGTTCCCTCGTGAAACAACTGCAGCAGCATGCATGCCGCATATCTGTGGGGCTGGGGGAGTTTACAGTAGATGTTTCAAATGCTGTGGTTCAAAGGTTATCATTGGGATTGTTGTAAGGGCTCTACAGTGCAGTGCTTGCACTTGTCTGTCCCAGAAAAACAAATTCCTGAGCATCCCCTGTAAAGAGAGCTCGCCACTTCTGTCTAAATGTGTTTTTCTCTTTCAGGTTATTAAAGGTCGGGTGAAAGACCTTATGATACCGAGGTACAAGATTGTTGTAGTGACACATATCGGGCAGCTGAATGAGCAGGGCACGCGAATCGGAAGCAGGTGCCTGTGGGATCCTGTGAGCGATACGTTTTCGTCATATGTGTTCAAGAACGCTTCACTCTTTGCTCTTGCAAATGTCTATGCTGTCTATTTTGAATAAGGAGGTATCTGAGTTTAACAGCAGGAGAAATGAACCTGCAGCCTAACCCTTCCTGTTTCTGTTGTTGAAAATGGTTGTGAAGGGCCAAGGCGACTTTCAGCTGTTTTGAAATATGGTTACCATGAGCCTTTCAGTGGTGAATGTAATAAACTTTATTTCCCAGAGCTTTCTCTGGGAAGTGATTCTCTGTGACATGCTGGTTTGCACATGATTCTACCTGCTTTCAGAACCAGGTATCCCTGTAAATACTTTTTTTCTCCCTGGATTTGCCCTCATTATATGATCCCCAAGTAAAAAACCACAGAAGGATTTTCAGTAAGGAAAACAAAAGCATTTTAAAACTATCCCTGTTAAACTGTATTTGTGGGCAGTTAAGTGTGTGCTGTGCTTGTGGCCCCGGCTCTGTGCACATGCTGTGTTGCAGATGCTTTCACTGAGCCGTGCTAGCTCGGTGCTGCAATTTACCCTGCCCTGCCTGGGGGATGGAGAGATCCCTCCAAACCTTCCTGCCAGGCCAAGGGGTGCCCTGGGTGGGCTCTGCAGCAGAGGGAGTCAGGAGCTTTGATTGAAAGTGCTTGAATCTAGAGAGAAAAAAAAAAAACAACCCACCCTGAATTTGGATTTCTCAGCTGATACTTGCTGATAAGAGAGAAAGTACAGCCCTCTGAGCTCAGCCGTGTATTTCATCTCCCTGGGTGCAAATTGACTGTTGGGCCTTCGGGGGATGTTTCTGGAAGCAACTGGAATAGGAAATAACCCATGGCTGCTGCTGCCTGCCCAGTTGTGGGGCAGTGCTGACCGGTGATAGGTCTCATCGGCTGCAGCCACTCCCTGGCTGGGGGATGTCTGGCTCGCAGGCCTCGTGGTGTGGCACGCTGCACGGAGCTATCTGCGCCGCCTTGGTTTTGTGCTGAAGACAGACTTTTTGCTATCTGTATTTCATAGCTGAAACCTGCTGTTGGATTTTCGTAAGAGAACGAGCATATAGTAAACTGCTTATTTTATTACATTTTATGTGCAAAGCTGAAACTAGAACAGGAGTTGGATGGGAAGAGATATTTGTACTTATGACTAAAATTTTATCTCTAGACCACTGTAAATGGTTTGTGGAATCCGGAGAACCCAACCTGAACTGTCATTGCAGCCGTTTGCTGGTTTGCACTACAACATTTAGCCTTTAGTCTTTTCTCCCTAGTATATTCCAAAGAATAAAGCTACAATTAAAGAATACAACTGAAATAACAGTGGTTTGTCATGATTATTTTAATACATAAAAGCTGTGACACTGAACCTCCTCAGCATCTGCTGTGTTTCAGCACAGGGAACTGATCTCTCTCTCGCTGCAGCCGATGCTGCAGCAGGATGTGGTGAGCAACTTGGCTGCTTCGCGTTTTTTTAGCACAGACGTTTTCCTGGTGCGTTGCAAGTCTTGCTCCATCTCGGGCTTGACATGGTGGGTTTCTTCACTGTCAGTCTCCAGCCTCTGGTCTGTGTATGTCAAGACATCGGCATAACCATTGTTCTCTTGTGAGAAGGGCAGGGGATTTTCGCTCTCTGTCACATAAAAATTAGAAGCTAAAAATCGGAAGTCATGGAATTGTGAGTAGTTCATAATTACTAGAAAGACAGAGCAGCCTACAGCCAGGGAGCTGAAAATATTCTGCTCTGTGTTTCTGATGTGAGGAACCAAGATGTGCCAGATCACTGACTTCTCACCAGGGCCGTGTTAAATAGATATGTGAGGTACCCATTTTGTGATTAACATGTTAAAACCCCAGAAATTTATGGATTTATATTGAACAGGGTTCTTTGTAGGAATAATTGCCTTATCAGTCTTACACTGATACATTTGCTTCAAAGGGTAAAACTGTGATTTGGTGCGTCAGTGGCACTCAACCAGCACGTTAACCTGGAACTGCTTGTGGGTTTCCCGAAATGCAGATATTCTGTTAAGGCATCAGATTCCTCGCAATTTCAAAGTTCCTGGGTGTTCCCACTTAAATTACTCTTGCAATTCATGCGCATTTTAAATACCACAGTGCAATCGGGCACTGCTGTGTGGAGTTTGTAAAGGTGTAGTAGTTCTCTCGCTTAGCTTAGCAGTGCGGGTTTCTTCTCCTTTAGCAGACTCCCAGGTGGCATCGCTTTTTATGGTTGTTTAAAGCTGCTGCTACAATAATATTTTCAAAAAAGGCAGGTATTACTGCATGGAAAGTGTAGAAAGCCTCTGGTCCTGTATCTGCCTCATTTATTTTCCTTTTTTCTAGTTATTTTAACCTATTGGAGTACAAATTTCTAGCAGTGCATGTAACGGCTGAATTCTGGCTTATCTAAAACGTGCTTATGAATATATACAACACCCTGAGAAGATACTTAAATTACAGAGTACATATTCAACATACTTTAATTATAATATTCTTAAGTTGCAATGTTTCTGGGGGGGAAGCAGTGTGTCCTACTGAAGACAACAGTAAAAAAATTTGGCCTTGACTGCAGCAAAGCTTGTCTCTGCCATTTAAAGTGTCATGGCATAGAGATTTTGAGTGACAGCCTCGGGCTTCACTCGTGGTTCCTCAGGTTGACTTGGAAAAAAAATCTTGATTTACATGTTTTTTATTTAGCAGAATAGCACACTAAGCCAAGCAAGCAGTGCAGCTGTGCCCCAAGGCACAGCCTGCAGGTGGTTGGGTTCTTGAGTCACTTCAGAGCTAGGTGTGCCTCGCAGGGGGTGCTAAGCCTTAAAGTGTTAATTAGTACTTACCAAACAGGTAATGATAATCAGTCAAATGCCTTTTCCACCGAGAGCCACCGCAGGTGAAGACGACGGCTCTGACAAAGTCTCTCCCGCAGAGCTTCACGGTGTTGCCTTCTCCTCGTCCTTCACATGCCATGACCAGGAGAGCCAACAAGGCCAGCGTCGTGCCCCTCATCCTGCAGCACTGTGCTTCCTGGCCAGGCGTTGCGGGGCAGGAGGGAGCCGTGGGGCTGGGTGGGGAGCTCTGCTGAAATCCTCTCATTTATACTGACGGCCTGTCCGCTCCACCGAGTAACGGCTCGTTCTGAGGATGGCTTAATGTTTGCTAAAAACAAGTTAATCGCTTGTTTCTGGTAACATTTTAAGTGCTTTGGCATTGGTGCTGGGGTTTCAGTCAGGTGTTAGAGGCTTCTTCGGACTACGTAGCTGGTTTACTGTAGGAACACCTGTAGTATAACATGTTTATAGGGTACGGGCATAGATCAATACAGTTAATGCGTATGTTCTGCAAAAATGAAAGGGTGTTTATTACATGATTTGTAGATAATGGGTTTTGTCTCTGTGTGCTTCCCACACAGCCTGTTGCCCAGTCAGGCCTGTTACCACCGTTTAAGCAGCGTCAGGTCTTTTTCTGTCAGCAATCCCAAACTACAAGACAGTTAATATCTCCCAGTGACGTCCACAGGCGCGTACCTCTTCCTTACCCCGCCTTGCTCTCTTGGCAAGCCGCTCCTTGTCAAGCTGGCAGTTGTGGGCGCTTCAGAAACCTGCTGATGCCAGGCAGTCACTCACAAGAAAACAGGGCACCGAGGGGGATTTTGTGGCAAATGTAAGCATCCAAGCCTGCAAATGCCCCGCTATGATTCCTGGCGTGCTAAGTGCAAGGACGTAATCCTGCAGCACGGTGAACTCACTGTAACAAACCCTTCAGAGCCATGTAGTTGTTTGAGGGCTTGTGTCCACAGCTATTGGCCTCGCAGGTACCCGGGTGCAGTGGAGTATCTCCACAGCTCGTGTGTGTCTGCAGCGAGGCCTGTGGACTATGCCAAAAAGCAATAGAAAAAAGAGGGAGAGGCCCTAAACAAAGCACAGAATAGCTACAGCTCGGCATCCTGGCCATCCTTTTCCTTTTGGTAACAGCTGAAAGACAGAAGAGGGTTCCCTAAAGCAGCGTGGAGCAGTGTTGCTGTGCTCTGGCACCAGAGGTTAGTAGGTTGGTTATGAGGGTGGTCCCTTCCTATTGCTTTGGGTGTTGATGGCTGTAAGCTTCTATAAATTGTTGCAATAAAATGCCTTAAGGAGAAAATTTGACAATTACAATGTCAGAAAATCCATGTTTAACAGCAAAATACACGAGGAACTTTGGAGATCTTTAGGACTTCCTAGCACCACAAGTGTTTTCCAGTGCCATAATGTTACAGTTAATTAGTTCATGCTATGTGCAGGGTGAATTACGATGTGTTACAGCCTTGACAGAAAGCTCATTTTTTAGCAGGAGCATCTGTAAGTAAATAGTCTTGACCACAGATGGAAAATATATGGTGTGTTTTGTTCGGATTTGTAATAATGATTAACACATGATTCACCTTAATGGGTGTCTGTCTGTGAAATACACAAAGATTAATTTTATGTCAAGGGTAAGCTTGCATGTTCACTGTAAAATGTGCAGAACACAGAAGGAAATGAATGTTAATGCGTCACAAATGATCTTGAACTTCAGTGATGTGTTTAAATGTTGGACATTTATTGTCAGGCTAATGAGAGAGTCTGAACGTTCTGTATCTATAAAAAACAGGTCTCGCTACATAATACTTCCAAAGGGAGGCAGCTATTGCCTCTGTCAGTTGGCAGGAGAGCGCCAGACTGCCAAGGTTTAGGATCACCTGGCTCCTGTGGCGGGGCCATCCCTGCCCCACTCATCAGGCAACAGGGCTATAGCCAAGATCTTAATTACTCCCCTGTAGAGATGGTGCATGTTTTCAGTGAGCAGCCAGGCTCTGAAAATCCTCAAAGACACCACGGTCTAGCTGGTGGCTCACTGGGTGCTTTTTTCTGTTTCTTCTGATCTGCCCTCGAAGATAGCTGAGCGAGACAAACGCTGCCCGCTTCCAACCAGCCATGTAGGCTTGCACAAGCAGTCCCAACACCTTTCAGTTCTCCGGCTGCTGGGGGTGGGCTAGGGGAGGCGATGAGATCTTGAAAAACACAGATCTGGCTTCCAGAGCTGCCAAAGTCAATCCTTGCTGCAGGACCTCACTGTTCCCTTGTGTGAGGAGCTTTCAGAAAAGTGTCAGTGTGGAACGGAGTGAATTTAACCTGCAATTTTACATTATCCTAATTTGTCAGGGGTTAAAAAAGTGGGTCTACTTTTGCCTGGTGTGGGATGATCTGCAGCTCGCAGGAGCACCTGATGCCACTCAAAGCTTGGCTCTCACCCTCAGTGGTGGCTTATGGCATGACAGACGAGATGGATCTGATGAAAAGTCCAATCATTTGCTGTATGATTTCACGGGGAAGATACAGACTACATCAGGCAAGGACTTTGGCTGTATGATGAAGTGACCTATATGGGAGGTGATTCTGGCATTTCTGCTTTTTGGAGAAAAGACCTTAGAGGAAAAAAACAAGGAGAAAAAATCCAAGAAGAAAAGACTATGGAGACTTTTCAGTATCTTATCTGTATTATAGGGAAGGCCGTCTGTGTAGTAATACTGTTTGTCTAATGAGGGGACTTCCAGGGGAAAATTTGGAGCATTTGAAAGAAATTTCTAACCAGTATGGTTTCAAAGAGAAATTTTAATGATTGAAGAAGAATAAATGGTTGATGTTAATACTACAGTAAGTCTTTCTTGCTGTTCGCTAAAGGAGCAGGGGTATCATTTAGCTACTGTTAAACAGCTACAGCAGGACCAATTATGTCATGTAAGGTATCAACCTGTAAAACAAGAGAGGAAAACAGGAGCTCTATGACAGTGTAACTGCAGTGTAAGACATGCAGTGATACAAAACTCCTGTTTACGAACTGAGAACAGAAATGCTTGTGCAGTGAACATCCAGGAAGCAGGCTAAGGTAGTTTGTATTATGTCAGCTGATTTTTCTTTGGAACTCTGCTAATACTACTTACCTCTAACAGTGCTCCTTGAAAACAGCACTTTTTTGGCAGGCCTGTTTGGATTGCATTTGTAGCATCATACTTAGCAGCCTACAAACATATATCTTGTTTATAAAGGACATCAGTTTTCAAGATGACACCTGTATGGTAGCTGTACTTAGATGGGATTGCCCCCAATGTAATTATCTCCCTTCAGCGTTAGTTGTGGTGTGGACTCTGTTACGCTGAGCCTTGTGCATACCTGAGCCTAGGAAGACCCTGCTGTTACCAGCAAAGGAAGTGAAAGAAATGGCTGGTGCTGGAAAGCAGGATTCCCTCTGGCTAATGAGGCTCCATGGCTCGGTGACCAGTTATGTCACATGCCCAAAGCCTATGAAATTAAGCACTGATATTTTTAGTCCTGTTCTGGTGACATACCCAGAAAATTGTCCCTATACTCTTATTAACAGAAAAACTTCCCTGCTCAGAAGTCTTGGGCTGCTTCGTGGTGATTTGTAGGAAAAAAAGCTCACTAATTTCATTTTTGTAAGTTTAACAACAATTGCCTCACTTTAAGTTTTTCAGGAAAATATCTTTTTGCTGTGTGGTGTGGCAAATGAGGCTGGTAATTACCAGAATTTTGAAATGCAACGCTGACAATTATGAACTATTAATGCTTAATACCCTAAGAATGAAGGTTAGATTAACATCAGCATGTTTGTTCTCGCCAACTTAAGTTTAGTGTTTTGCACCATGTAACTCAGAAGGGATTTTAAAAAATACCAGTTTCACTTTACAAATTGGGACCCCAAGCCCAGTAAGCTGAAGCTACTCGCTCAGAGCTGAATGGACAAAGGGAGCAGAGCAGTTTGGCGTGGCAGGCCACCTGCAGAAAGATCCTGGAGGAGGGATCCACCCAGTGCTGGAGTACCCAAGGTGGCATCAGGATTTTGTACCGCGGACTGGGCAAGTAGGGAACAGTGGGGCTTTGGGGTAAATTAGCGCTGATTTATGCAGAGTGAACAGATTTACAGTTGACATCCGTCAGCTTTTACACCGCTGCTGACACAGAATCTATGCAATGGTACGATTAAGGAACCTAGTTGTAAGGCAAGTCCAATTCTCACATGTCATCTAGGACAGAAAAGTCCTCACTAGGATAAATAGTGGCTTCTAAAAGAGCCCAAGGGCTAATGGGTTTGCTGACACCAACAACGTGAGACCATCTTGGTGGTGGCCAGGAGAGGGCACGTTGTTCCTGCGTTGTCAGCAGGTAAGGGCATTCTGCCAAGTCCAGTCACCTGACCCCGGCGTTTAGAAGCTCCTCCACCTTCCTGCCCTTGCTCCGTGACCCTCCCAAATCCAGTGTGGTGAACCTCTGGAGTTGCCATCAAGTGAAACCTGAAGTTCGACATTGCCTTACCTGTTCCTGAATTTCTAGTGGTATGGCACGCAGAAGAGCCGGAAACACCTCAGGTTTTAGTCTGGTTATGGAATTGTATCTTATTTCAACATTTACTGGCTAGATCTTTAACAGGAACTGCTTTCTGAGGAACGAAGTACCAGGCAAGCATGCAGGCCTCTGAGGAGCACCACCTTTTTCTGGTGAATCGTACCTTGTTACTGTTGGGAGCAGCCAGGTTCTGCAGCTCAAACACACTGACTTCTCCTTTACTGTCTCCTACAAGAAGGCAGTCGGTGTTCTTAGCAAAGAGTACAGCTGTGAATTTCACTCTTGGGTTGGCAAAGTGAGAGATCACAGGGTTCAAGCTGCAACCCAGCAGAGGCAAGAATTAATAGATAACATGGCATTTGCCTGAGTGCACTGTCATGTGAAGTCTAGCAGTAATGCAGGCCTGATAACTGTTGCATGTTTTCCTTTTTATGTTCTAGATTAACTCAAAAACTAAGAAGCAAGGCAGTGTTTGGTCTCTACCACAACAAAAATCCCAGCTGCTAGTCACTAAGACATCCTGGTTGCCTACAGTCTGCCCTATTGCCTAATATGGGGGGTAGTGGTTAATATTTTTATTATATCAGTAATTTGGAGTTTGCTAGTGCAAGATTTGGCAGGCCTGCTACT